GACCGGCAGATCTGGTATACAGATGGAAGCGGCTATCAGGGGATGATCGGAGCCGCCGCGGTCTCTATTCGAGCAGGTAAGACCGCCAGGAAATACCTAGGAACGGAACTGGACTCCACGGTCTACGTTGGGGAATTGGAAGGGACCCGAATGGCCCTAGATCGGGCGAAGCCTATCCCGATCACAGTCTTCTCAGACAGCCAGGCAGCTATTCAAGCCGTGCGCAACCCTGGCCGGCCATCGGGCCAGTACGCATTGTGGGCTATTTACGAGAGGATCAGGACCCTGCGGAGTGAAGGCCTAGAGGATGCTGAACTACGTTGGATCCCCGCTCACATCGGGGTAGAGGGAAACGAAAGGGCGGACAAGGCAGCCAAGGAGGCTGCGATAAAGGGAGTTAAATTAAGCTCAGTAAAGCTACGAGATCGACCAATCGTACGGCTTGCAGCTGCAGCTAAAAGAGACGTCCGCCAACGCTTGCGTACAGAGTGGACAGAGCAGTGGAAAAGGCAGAAAATAGGCAGGCCGACGAGGCGGCTGCTACCTAAACCAGACAAGAAGAATCTACGGCTTTACGAGCATCTCAGTAAGCCGCACACCTCGATTATCATTCAGATGCGCACTATGAGGATAGGATTAAGGCACTTCCTCTACAAGATCAAACAGGTCGACTCCGACCGGTGCGCCTGTGACCTAGGGTCCCAGACCCCTAGGCACGTCCTTCTGGAGTGCTCGCTGCACACGGCCGGCCGGAGGATAATGATAGATCACCTCAATCAGATAGAGGGGCTGCGTGGGCGTACACAGGATTACGACGCAGTTATGTCACACCCGCAGGCGATTCGCTACGTCGCCAAATTTATGCAACAAACAGGCCTCCTTCAACAATTCCTATTCGCCCGACTGGACGACGAGGACGACGAGGAAGCTCCAGAACCTACCAACCTGCTAGAAGGGCTCGAACTAGGCGAGGAAGACGATGGTTACATGGAACTTTAGGGGGCGGCCTGGGTCAGGCCGCTACCAGTGACGCATACCACTCACGAATCACCTATATAGAACGAGGCGGAAGGAGAGACAGCGTCAGGAGACGTAATGGGCTGCAGGCGAGTGGCAGCCGGTTTAGTTGCGTTGCTTTATGATTTATCTACTTCGTTTGTGGGTTTATATGGCGTAAGGGCTCGAGATTCTGCTTCATTCGGCGAAGCGCCTGCATAGCCTGTCGTTTCAATAGATAGGCTCCATCAGGTTAATAGAATTTTGATTGATTGATTGATTGATTGATTGATATCTAACATGAATCGAAATTGACCTTTGCTCACGAGCATATACACTGTTTACTTAACTGTGCACAGGACCTAGCTGGTGATACCAACACTGATCAGTGGTTGATTACAGCCACAGAACAGCTCGGTATACACGATCTGGAAGAGGCATTAACCGCAAGGGAACGGGAAAACGGTTGCAGTACCCTCATTGCGGAAGGTGTGCTAAAGGATATTAAAGTATCTTACTGGAAAACGGATGCAGTACCTTAGAGATACGGAAGATTTCCAAAAAATCTACAGTTGAAACCGCAACGAAGATCTGCGTCTATCACGCGAACAAAACGTTAACAGGAAACGGATGCAGTACCGTCACGACACGCAATCTAATACACTCATTCCTTCGATCTATTTTACTTACGACTACCTTCGAGTGAGCAACTATGCTGCCAATCCCGGACAACCTCCCGTACTCTATTGAGGAGAAGACATGGGGGAAATCCGTCGATACACTCGATGAAAAGAACCAGACAGAAGGAATACTAAATGGTCATATAACTTGTACATTGCGGGCATGGAACTTGATGCGCATTACTGATTGTGCCCTATAGAACGACTTTCGTAAAGAATTTGATGGATGGACTCTGGACACATTCAAGGTGGCAAGCAAAACTGCATTAAAGATACTTCGACTGCATTTGACTACCCACGGAGTATGGATCAGGGTAGGTATAGGGATTTCCTTTGCGAAGGGACTATACGACTGCCTCCAAGAGGTCACCCAGCACGAATGGACCAAAGAAGAGATTAAAGATCATCTAAAAGAGCACCCAGACAATTTCAACTCCAGATGGAATCCTGCACGCGACTGCGCGCCAACTACTCGATCAAGCCCTCTAGCAACACGAGCTACTCCAGTGAACCTACAAAATCCCCTAACCCCACAAGAGGATGTTGTGAAAACATACATCGAACAAAGTGACCAGAGATGGGAAGAAGCCAAACCAGCAACGATCGATACAGCCTATATAGATCAGCACGCACAGCAACAATCCGGCTATAACAGACTCCATCAAAACCCCCAGGAGATACCGTTGCCGAAATTGATTGAAGCAGTAACTAGGCAGTATAGCAATTCGGACGACAAGTATGACAGAAAACTGTACGATGACCTTAATACAAAGCTAATCAAGTTTTACGATATCTGCGAAAAGATTGGCTTATACGAGTACCAGTTCCAAATTGCATTTTCGCTTATGCTCAAAGGAAAAGCGGAGAAATTCTACTTTACAAGGATCAAAGGGAAGGCGAGAGATTTTCCAATTATAGTAGAGATGATGAGAGCGCAATTCGATACAGAGAAAAACCATCAAAGATCCATTACTGAGTGAAGAGAAACTACCTTTCCGAGGATTATTGCCCAGAACCCGGAAAAGCTGCATTCAGAATGCCTTGAGATACTTTTCGATACTCTCGAAAAGATCCAGCCAGGATTGCCCCCAGAATACCGGTCAGAGACGACCTTACGAGAACAAATTATAAATGCTTGTAGAAGTATCGAAGAATGTAAATTCTTTCTATACAGGCCAGCAAGTACTCTCGAAGGCGTACAAGCAGAATTACGATCAGCAGTTGCTAATGCGACTTTTTCATTACACTCCGGACAATTTCACGTTTACGAGGAGTGCGATGTGTATGATCAGCATTAGACTGATCGCACATACGGAAAAAGAGGTCGGGGATATAGTTGCAGAGGCTACAACTAAAGCAGAGAAAACTATAGGCACAACAATGACCGTAAAATTACTCCCTTTCGTGGATCAGGACCGCGAGGAGGATACCGCGGAGGCCGACGAGGACATCAAGGGGCCCGCCAGGGGAGATGCTATGTCTGCGGACGACTAGGATGCTGTTCGAAGTATCATACCGGGGAAGAACGAAAACGATCTCTCGATAACTTCCGCGAACAACGTTTCTTTACGACAGGCTAGAAAGCTACCCCGCAGGACTTCCAAATGTTTATCAGTGCCTTTGAAGGTGCAGAGGAAGAGCTAGACGATAACGAGAGGAATGAACTAGATCAAACGCTTGCAGTTATAACTATTGAAAATGATGAGCACGAGGGATTCTTAACGGAAATCGGGCAGGTTAATGGAATCAGGACGATATCCATCCTGAATGACCAGTCAGTATACCATTTTTTCACTAAAAATGATATCTTCTACCAGCGACAAGCCGACGGGCAGGCTATAGAAGCATTTACATTCGATAGCCGGTACTCATCCGACACGTTCCAAGGCATTATGCCAGACACTGGAGCCTCTGGGGTTTCGTCTGCTGGTGAACCGCAATTTAGGGCACTATGCAGGCTAGACCCTAAAGTCAGTCTTGATACTTCCCGGGCTGGGGAACAGAAGATCAAATTTGGCGATGGAAATCCAAAACTCTCCTTAGGGACTGCTGAAATCGATACCCCGATTGGTACTATCACCTTTTATATCCTCTCTACGAATATACCATTCCTCTTTTGCCTAAAGGATATGGATGCTATAGGAGTAGAACTCCGAAACAAGAAAGACGTACTTGAACGAGGAGATAAGAAAGTGCCTATTATACGTAAATGGGGACACCCATGGATGTTACTGCACACTCTAGAGGAGATAGCAGCATGGAGCCATCTTACTGAATCAGAGTTACGACAACTCTATCGACGTTTCGGACACCTATCAGTGCGGAGATTAACCCAAATCCTCCAACGCGCTGGGCACGAGGTAGATTCGCAGTGCCTTGACTACCTTACCAAATTCTGCCACCATTGCCAGATGAAAGGCAAGTCCCCAGGAAGGTTCAAGTTTACCCTGAAGGAGAACTATGAATTCAACTACTCAGTTATTATTGACATCCTGTACCTCGAAGGAAAACCCGTTTTGCAAGTTATCGATGCAGCTACATCATTTGGTGCTACAAGATTTCTAAGAGATATGTTTGCACGCAATGTTTAGGATACACTTCGTACATGCTGGATATCTACGAGACATATATATGCAGAGTCCATTCGGTCTCGCTCCCCTATGTCTCTTAATCGACATCAGATTTACGTAAATCCCAACAAGAGTCAGACATGCTGCTAGGCGATGTTTCGCCTGTGGGAGTTACGGCATGGTATACATTCCTGGCTCCAACTTTCTGAGATTAGGATACTGGCAAGGCACACATAGCTCTATACTTGTAGTGATAGGGGCAGACGTGGACAATTAACCACAGCAAGCTATGAATTTCGTATTCATCTTAGTAATAAGTTTCCTGGGGCTGTATATCGATCTGTGAGTTGCCTATAGCCGCTGGCCAGACAATAGGGAATACCAAGTCCGGTCTCTCCTGGAGTTTGAGCTCCTGAAACACATCCTTCACAGATGGCTCGCCCTGTAATCTACGCACAAGGATTTATTGTAGTATTACTGCAAGTTCTGTTATAATAACGCGAAGGTGATCCGTTTCTGTGGGGGCGGTAAGACCTCCAAATATCTCAGCGTAACACAGGTTTAGTAGGTGATCGGCCAGATCACTTTGCCCCCCTAGTGAATGAGGCCCAGCCCTACCTGCGGGGTCTCGGCCTATTGCAATTTACGGCCCTCGTTAGCATAATAGGCTTCTACTTTCGGATTCCCGGGCCAGCCCCTGCCAATTTCTAGGTTTGCCCCAAGTAGGCATCACCTAACCCTATCTTCTTCTTCTTTCCGCTCCTCATCCCCTCTCTCTCTATGGCGTCCTGTCCCCGCTGCTAGACCTGTAACTCTATGGTTCGGGTCTATTTTCTCTTATTTCTCTTGTTTCATCTATATGATTTAGATTCTGTAGGTTAGTCTGTCTCTCGATATTTTTTCTAACACATAGGCATTTATTAATTGGTTCACTACGGTTATATTAATATCTTTCATACTATTATACCATAGAGAATTTTATATTTGTGTTTAGTTTGTATGGAAGGACAAGAGTACAGTTAACCTGACTTTGGCTAAAGCTATAGCTCGAGTATGTTTTCTAGGATAGTAAAGAGGTCATATATAAACTTGTGTATGTAAAATCGTAGTTTAGATATATCTGCAGTACCCTATGGGGGGTCATGGGGACTGGGCTCCGCCCAGCTTCCATTGGACATTAATCACTACTACTGGATAACCTTCGATCAGATTCTAGTCTAATCCCAGCTCTCCACTTGCATTTATATATAATTGAGTCTGGGGCCAACTAACAGGGGACCTACGGGTCGGAAAGTCAGCTGGCGGCTGTCGATCCATGTACATACCATACTATCCTTAGTGCTTACTCAGGTCTGTCGATCTTAATTTCCAAGTACTCCACAGTAGCGTCCAACGGGGTAGGCGGGGCTTTAAATCTGACTGCAGGCCTAGGGCCGGCGGGAAGGATGTAACCGCAATGATCCCGTCGGGTATGGGTCGAGGCTCCAGAGTAGATACTAAGATAGGGTAATTGTTCAAGTGCGGCCAAGACGTTTCATTCTCAATTGCATCATCGTTAATGACTCTTTCTTACTGCAGTTAATCATAGTTGGCGAACAAAAGAGAATAAAAATCAAAAACAGGAAAGGTAAGACTTCAAAAGACATTGCGTAGGAACAAAGTGAGAATATGTTGGCGATACTGCCGCCTCAGTCCGCCTTCCCTATATGGCGGCTTGGCAATAGCGCTCAACCCCTTTCCATAG